TTTAGTGCTACCGAATTTTGACATGTTCAATTGTAATTGGGGCTTCCACATCTTGATAGGTTTTCATTAGTTTATATGAGAAGTACTTCATCTTTAATGACTCTTAATCGATTTCTGATCATATCAGATATGAGCTTCTAACGCCTGGTATGAAAATAGGCCCGGCGTTCGATATTTCTGTTCTTGTAAATAACTGCTTGGTTGTCGTATTATTGATATTATCAGATTTCGAGGTTGGCTCTAAATTTTCATTCACATGAGAGATGTTCATACCTTGGTTATATTAGATGTTGTGTGATACCGGCGTCAGTTCCGCTCTTAGTCTCTTAGAGGCCCTAAGAGTATCTCATCATTTGCGTCTGTTTTTGAACGACGCAGCGGGATGTTTTGCCATGAGGCGCTAGTTTGAAGCCATTTCCTGCGTTTTTTGTAGATGCTGGCCGTAGTTGCTGTAGCTCTAAACACGGTAGCTGGATTTCTTTTTTCGCGCAAATTTTGCTGTCATATTGAAATTGTAAATGTTGGTTCTGTTTGCACTAATTGTTGTAGTGTTGTTAAATTGTTTGATTGTTCTAGAAAACACTTATGCTGTTGCTGAAGGTTCTGTGTTAGGTCGCTGTATTCTAAGTCGACCATTCGTATTGTTTGTTAACGAAATGCCTCACGTTCTTTCTTGGTTATTTAGAATTTCTGCCTGACTGTGTGATAGTCCCGCCGAAGGGGGGACGCCGTCCCCCACCCCCCCCCCGCGTAGTCATTAAACATTATATCACTTCACTATATATGGGCGTATTGAATTTTGCCAGTAGTTTTTAATTCACCACTTTCAACAAGAGAGGGAGGAATAGAGGTTATCTTGTTCACAAAAATAAAAAGCGTGGTCACCAACTGTTTCACTAGTAATTTGAACGATACCTTAAAATGTTTGCGGCAAAATGTTGTTCAATCACGACAGAACAAGATGTACTCTTTCAATAGTCAACGCTTCACTTAAATTCACGAAATTAACTATAATATGAGGAGCCGAGCGTAAACCTTCCAACACTTCAAGGCCTCCTGCAAGAAAAAATGATCTCCAAGATGTGTATTTCTTTTCATATCATGATGTAGATTTTTCACATCATTACAAAACATTCTCCATACTACGTTTATTACTTTGTATATACGTGCGTATATGAGAAAGTAAACTATAATAACTTAGGTAGGGACACATTACACTCCTAGATATAAACGTCATGAGTCGTATATGTTGTTAAAGCAATATACTAACCGAGTCTTATTTCTCTTATTGGCCCTGTGCCATTCAATATTTTTCGTAATACAGTCTTTTACGAAACGAATCGAATAAACATGGAAAACCATTTCTTGGAATAAGTGTAAGAGTCGATGTAAGATTAAACTTCGTTCCATTCAGTTGCTGATATCATAATATTACATTGCATATTAAGAATGGGTAAGTATTCACATAAATGTACTAAAACATTAAATTATAGTTTTTAGGATACAGAAAAATAGATTTGAGCTTCTACATATTCCTAAATTTATAATCAAAAGCTTATTACATTTGGGTGTGGATTTGAATAAATTCTACAAGCTCAAATCCCCGAATAAGAGGATCCCCCTTTTAGAATGTCTTGCAAACACTGAAGAAGCGTTTTGCATCAGAACAACTACTTTGATTTTATTGTCTTAGTCACATCGTCCATTAGGAGTGTGAGTCAAAAACATTTGCTACTGTCTATGATACCGCCGAAGCATGACTGTAATCTTTGTAAGAAAAAAGTGGGAATATCACGCAGAAACTGCATTTATTTATACTTTATTTCTTAAAGCTTAAAATATAAAAAACATCCTAATATATTTTAAAATGTTTCCATGTTATTTATCACAGTTGTCTAGTTTTAAAATAAAATAAAGAAATATATCGGGTACCGTAAACCAAAGACGCCATTGAGACAATACAAAGAAGAAAAACAAGAAGAAGAGGCAAGAAAAAAAGCCTATTTATATCTACATTCTATTAGTAGCGGAAAATCTAAAAATATGAACATTTTTCGGCATTTAATTTGCTTATTTGTGCCGAAGAGTGTGAAATTAAATACATTTACATTATTTAAACAAAAGCTTTCATTATACTACAATCTTTACTGCGTAGGCAAGTGCTGAAAATAGTAAATAATGACAGGACTTTTGGTTCCATTTGAAATTCAGCGTTCAGGTGAAGTCATGACGCATCCTCTGATAAGGCTATCAGCAAACAGTAACTTACACTTTGCCGCTGGACTCTGTAAATCAAGGCTAGTCGCGATTGCGCCATCAGATGCAACTACGCGGCTCACAAACTGACAAATACCGCAAAGCAAATTATTACGAAGATTTTGTTCAATTCACTTTACCCACTTATTTGCAAGATTCGCCATTTCCCTGCCAAATTGCTTTTTACGAGGCGAATTACAACGCAATTATTCCAAAAACTACTTTGACTGATTGTATGATTGTACTCAATGTATTTACATTGCGTTTGACGTCGTATATCTTCACGCGCGTGTACGAGGATATCCGGTGACGATTGCCCACCCGGAACGTTGGGCACTGAGTAATTCCTGGCGGGATCGCGTCAGGGTGCTGCCAAGGGAGCCACCGGCTTCTACTGGGCACTCTTAACGGGCAGGAGGGTGGCATAGTGCGATGTCTTGAATCTAACAGGACAAAAATTAATTTCACTACATTAATATTGGGCGAAACTAGAATTCAAGCCACAGAAAAGAAATATTGGAGGAGATGCAGTAAAATCTCCAGAACAGAGAGAATTCAAAACGAAACAATGAGAAATATAATGAAACCAGAAACATCATCCTTGGAAATGATGAAAACAAAAATACTACTGGGGTCATTTAAGAAAGTCAGACAGTGAACGACTACCTAAAAAGGTACGGGATTACATACCCGAAGAAAGAAGGTACAGAGGAAGATCTAGAAGGAAGTGGTAGGTCGAAATAAGAGTAATGGCCAAAGAGTTCGGGGATGAAGATTGGGCAGAAAGAAAGAAATGGAGATTAGGCAGCGAGAAACGGCTATACCTGTAAAAAAACTCCCTTCGCTTCTACTCTACTATTAAAATTGCCTGCCTGGGTGTCGTATATCAGCGTCCAAGTGCGCGTGTGCGAGTCTTGCGCATGATATGGGTGTTTTCACCATCTTTTTGTTTAGTTCCTCGTACCTCCACGAATCATCTTTAATTCTTTATTCTCCCCACAATCATTCATCCCTCTTCATCAATCACTAACAAAAGCAAACATTATATTTCTCCCCCGTATATCACATCCATTATTTGCGATAAATAAAATATACATTATCAAAATAATAGTATCAAGTGAAATATAATAGCAATAGTATATTATGCCGTAAGTTTATAATGATATATACTTCTGTTTTATAAATAAATATTTCACTAGTGTAATGAACTAACATAACAATGAGTTGCATAGGATATGTTTTGAGATAAGCAATCTTAATTTTACAATAAAGTTCGAAATTGTAATTTGTAATAAGTAACACCTCGTTGCATGTAGAAAAGTTTGTTTCTTTATTTTTTATATCTAAGCTCTCAGAGTGACTCAGGAGAAAGATTATTTGAAATAAAAGGATTGTTGAAGTGTGGGAGTTGTTCTGATGAATATTCAAAATATAGACAATGTGTGAGTTGGGGACCTCTTTTCTCCATTATTTCAGAATTGATTTGTTAAAAACTGTCTTAACACTTCTTTCGGCTGGTACAAACTTTTAATGAACCCTAACATTCAACAAAAATTATACATGCACTCACATTTATGATTTTAAAAATGTTTGTGCCACTCAAATCTTTCTGTACACTTGTATCTTTCTGTAGATCCATTCTCTAGTTTCGTAGTTATCAGTCGGTACAATAAATCACGGTCAATTTTTGCAAAATCCAAAAGCTTGCCAAAAATACTCGTATGAGATTTTAACCCTAATTTTACAGCATATCCATAGTCCATCAAACGCACATCTGCTCCCTGAGTCAGCTCGGAAATCGACTAACGAATAACTACATCCAACATCCCTCATACCAACTCACCCCAACCCCTCAATCCGGCGTGCCAGAAGCAAGGTAATTTTCAATGGGAAACATTTTCAAATAAAAGCAGATCATCCCATTTCCCCCTCATAATCATCCTCAACTTAAAGGCAAAAAGTGCATTGTTGCTGCCGCCATGATATTCGGTCTTCCACTGTTCTCTTCATCTCAGTATAGTTTGTGAAGTTCATTTGACAATTCTAAAAATTTCATTCTAGGTCTCCCTTTTTCTCTTTTCCCAACTATTTGCAGTCCGAAATTGTATTTAAGAATTGGTTATATCTGAAAAAGTGTTCATAAAATGTTGCGTTCCTGCTTCATACAGTTTTTAGTAGTAATCTCCTTTATTTTTTCTAAAATTACGTTGTTAATTTTTTTCTGTCCAGAAAACCCTCAATATTTTTCACCACAACCACATCTCACAAGCTGCTAAACGACTCCTGTCCGTTTGCAAAAGTACCCATCCTTAAAGTAATATACAATATCGAAATTTATATTGGTATTTGTGAGCAAATTTATTTTTTTTAGGGATGACTTCTTGGTTGGTGTAATTTACTCTCTTATTTATGTTATGCTTTTATTGTCGTCGGTGAAATTGCAGCCTAAATAGCCAAAATTATGTGCACGTTCTATTTCTGTTGTATCTAACATTATATTTGATATGTTGTTTCTCTCTTTAACGCCCTGTTAATGTGTAAATACCTGCAGATTTATTTGTAAACCAGCAAATTCTTACTGTAGAAGTATTACTCATTGTCGTGCAACGAAGTGGCTGTGGTGACCTTCGGGGTAATCGCGGTGTGGATAGTCATCGTCGTGTAGCTTCTACCCCACTCCTACACCCACACCCGAGCGGCTCACGCCCTAGGCGCATAAAAGAGACGGGAATTGAACTTCCGACACAAGTTATCGACTCTCGCCACAGTATAACGGATCTTACGGGACTCTAGTATATCACTATGGCTGCCTCTGCTCTTACTGTTTGCCGAATGGTAAGTTCAGGCTCACGTTCGTTTACCGAGATGGGTAGCAGCTAGTGATGGCAAAGTCGAGAAGCTGGCACATCATATGGAGATGATTTTATGAGATTATGAGTTTTGCCAAGTAGGAGCCTATGAAATAATATTTTAATAGAATGCTTACAACAGTAACGAAAAGAATATTCAGGTAATAAAATTGTTAATCATGAAATACAAACACTTACGGCTATAAAAATAAAAATTATAAAATAGGCGTGTCTGTGATTTCAGAATAACTGTTCTTTTAGAATATAATGCTATTTACGAGTCCTTGATATAAAACTTACTCAATTTTTTTTACAATTCTTGTCGGTGAGTTTGTTCTGTCTAATCTTGTGAACTGCTAAACAGATATTGATGCGGTTTTGAAAGTGAAAGGAGTATTTTTTCGGTATACTTCAGGTTGTGTAAAGAAGAATGTTTTATTTTTTACACAAATCTTCAGTTTTACTTCTAACATACGAAAAATTTGTACAAGAGACCTTCAAAAGAAAAAGTTACCGTTTACTCTAGATTTCGTGAAATCCATCCCATTCCTTTTCTATTCGTTCAACAAAATGTTTGCACTTATTGTCAGTTTTTCGAGATTATATCGATATTATATCATCATATATTAAAATGAACGAAGACGTTCACTACAACAAATAAAATTTTTTGGAACTTCATGAAATTGTCAAGTAAATAGTTTTTTTATTCATTCCAATAATGTCTTTTAATAATTGATGCTTAAAATTGTTACTGCAAGTTTGCTAGTAGTAAACAATATTTACTGATGCTGTAGCAATGGTGGTAGCAATGCTGCTTGTAGCGAACAGGACAGAGCATGGCAGGGCTGTGTAGAGCACGGCAGGACAGGGCAGGGTGAGGCAGGGCAAGGCAGTTAAGAGAAGGGCATGGCAGAGTAAAGTAAGAGGGGCAAGGTGCATCTGGGTAAGTGGGACGGAGCATGATGGATGTGGACAATGCTGCCGATATCAGAGTAGGCCAATCCAGGGATACATTACAGAAATCATTCATTTTTCTGTCTAATAGACGATTGGGCTGAATAAATTGTGAGTCGCGGATTTCACGTTCGTTATAAAAACATGAAGTTGCTGATTTCATTCAGCAAGTAATATTTACAATGACATTCATCTGGGTATTTTCTCGAAACTAATAAAATATTCATTATTTATACAATATTGCCACTTAGCGCGTCTCAGGCTTGACTAAAATTATGGTGTGCGTAAAATATGTGAGAGCATATGAATTAATTTCCGCGTCTTGAAAAATAAGCTAAACGAACAAACAGAACTAAAAGTGTGAAAGTTTCATGATCACTTGGGTGTTAGTAGTTTTTAATCGCTACTTCTGAGATTAGATTTTGAAACGATTGAAAAGACGAGTCATTTCTGTGATGAGAGGGCATAATCAGCTTCGCCGAAATGTTAAAGTGTCATGAACTCCTTTCGCCTTGTGAACACAGAATTTCATCTGTCTCCTAGTTTTTTCTGTGAACAATGACTAATAAACGAATTAAATTATCTCAAAACAGTAATTTATTCGTGATTATCTTTGTCTCTGTTGCCTTTTTTGACATAAAACCAAGTCCAGACCATCTGATCTGCTGACTTTACTATCTAATATGTGTTTGTAAAGTTATGTGAGTGATAGTTTATTTATCAGTATTCTTGTGTTTTGGATTCCAGAGCGGATGCCCAATGGTCTCTCTTGCGCCTCTGTTGTGCCTGCTGTTCCTGTCGTACACGCCTTTGAGAATTGCGGCCGCTCCGGCCAATGACAAGCCGATCAGTGGCTCTGCCGTCACCCCCAACAGCCTGCTCCCTGGGCTAGGGGGATATCCTGGTTATCTTGGAGGAAGTGGAATCTACCCAGGAGGTATCGGGAGCTATCCACAACGTGTATTGAATCCGTACGGCGTGCAGCCACTCAACTCGCCAATTTACGGGCCAGCGTCCGGAAACGCGTGTATGATCTGCTCCTGGAAGACCACTAATTTACAGTGGTACTTGCAAAACTACGGCATGTATGAACAAATGGGTTATAATCCGTGCTCTATTTGCTCATACGGAATTTAACATTTCAAACAATAAAATTGTTATATGAACTGTAGGCAAGTTTTGCAAATTGCTATGCTCTAAACTATTATATTATGCAATTATTAACAAGTAAGTGATATTACGAAGTAATTTATTTTCTTGATGCTTGGGCAGAATATATTTTTAGAATTGTTTATTTCCATTTTTATAGTTTCAATTTCATCAAATTCACATTATTTATTGCCATGAAACCTTTCGTTTATTTGATAAGAAAAAATGATATTATACTAAAGAACCATAAACATAATTGAAAGCAAATATTTCACGCTATATATTATTTATATTCTTCTAACAGTTTTTACATTTCACTTGAATAGAAATACGTTGTATGTAGTACAATGTGTAACTATTCGTAATTTTTTATGAATTTACTTTTCCATATGGACACTGTTTTTATACATTTATAATGTCTATATTTAGTGAATAAATACGAGAACATAACATTATACATAAGCAATTTCAATTGCAAAAACAACCCTCCTTCCATCCCAATTTTCCAAATTTTCTCTCTTATTCACCCCGAAATGGACAACTAGTAAGATGGAAGTTAAGTCATGTGTCATAAAAAGTCATTACAAAAGGAAAAGTTATAACTGAATAAAGTCAATAATATTCCTTTAAGAGATGGAAGATATTTTTCCAATATTTTGAAAAACATCTACTGTAATCTCTACGGAATCATTGTTCTTAATTTATTTAATAGAAAATATACGAGTTTCTGAGATTATTCGTAATATTACGAAACATTTATTAATTTAGTTCAAACGTACTAATGTTCCCGACATATGGCCAAATTCTCTTCATTATTGAAACATTTAAGAATTTTTAAAATACGCCTTTTGTAGCTCACAGATTGTCGAAAACTTAGCAGATTTTCAGAAACTCGATAAAGCATTTGCAGTTTTTATGTTCATAAATGTATTAAATAATAAAATACGATGGTAATATTCAAAATATTAACGACGTGCACAAGGTTTGAAAAAGAAATAAAAGAGTAATGTGTAGAAATTCAAGAATTTAATGAAAATGATACTTACGTCATATACTTCAATTGAACTACAGTCCCTGGCCATATTATTAGACGCACCCTAAATTTTCAATAAAAATCACGTTTTTGCGACGAAAAATGTATTTTTTTTATTTCTAACGAAATACCTAAGTAATAATTGAATACTTACGATACGAACAAGATATCATATGCAAAATTATGACTGTCAGTATAATATATAAACTAATTTTTTATAAAAATCTCCATGCGCATGTATATCTTTAATACTTTGTTAGGTCACCTTTGGCGGCTATTAGAGATTTAATTCTTTTTGGCATGCTATTAATGCATGCCTGGACTGTTTCA